CTGAGGGAGCGCCGCACTGTCCGACGGTCAGCGCTGAGGGAGCGCCGCACTGTCGGAGGGTCAGCGCTGAGGCAGCGCCGCACTGTCGGAGGGTCAGCGCTGAGGCAGCACCGCATTGAGCTGTGTGTTTAACTGTAGACCACATGAATTGGCAATTACCATTGGTTCCCTATCTCGATTCGGGCAAACAATTGCTTGGCTTTCTGCCTACACTCTGTTGCTGACATAATGGTGACTAAGGCTTTTGAGTGTTGGGTAAGATCCAAGTACTTGCTGGTGTTAGCGAGGCATCTCAGACTGGAATTTCAAACCACTTGTCCTGTGGGGTCAGGGAGAGAGGTGTAGGCGGGATGCAAACCAGGAACATTGCTGTCACAGAACGAGTCTCTGAAGCAAGCAGCAAATTTCACAAAGTGGCATGGGATCGGTGAGCAAGAGAGCTGTGAAAAGTATGGCTTTGGGGTGTGCATCATGGGCAAAATCACTTCTCTCCAAAATAACAAAACCTGATTATTTCCCTGAGGCATTTTCTGAACACCAGCAGAGAATGTTTCAAAGCAAGAGTTTGGAAGAAGCTCGAGCTGTCAGGGGCAATGAATCATTAGCCACGTCGAACAACATCTGATTACAAAAGAATCTGAAACAATAAGTGAGGAATCTCCCCACAACTACATCCTTCTTTACCAGTGAGCCAGATATTTGCTTTGCAGAGTGGTTCCCTGTTGACAAAAATACAGCAGGAGGTATAGAGCATGGGATGGCAGGTAACTTAGTGGTTAGCACTGCTGCCTCATAACACCAGGTTCAATTCCATCCTTAAGTAACTGCCTGTGTGGAGTTTGCACATCCTCCCAGTGTCTGTGTGAGTCCCGTGTGGGTACTCTGGTTTCCTCCCACAGTCAAAGATGATGTGTAAGTTAAGATTGGATTGACCATGGTAAATGTGGGAACCGGATGGTATGCTCTTCAGTGGGTTGGTGCAGACTCAATGGGCCGAATGACCTCTTTCTTTAATTGTAGAGGTTGAATCTAAAGACCACAGAACATGCTGAAAACACAGCAGCTCTGCCACCATCAAAGTTAATGGTTTGAGTCCAATAAGACTCTTCTTCAGACTCTCTTTTGGAAGGTCTGTGCTGCACTGTTGGAGAGTCAGTTCAAAATCCCATCTGTGATTGCAGGCAGATTGTAAATTTTTTCTTTAAATTCACTCACAGGGTGACTGTGTCACTGGCTAGACCAGCATTTAATTGCCCATCCCTGATTACCAGGGTCAACCACATTGCTGTGGGTCTGGAGTCCCAGATAGGCCTGACCAAGGATGGTAGTTTCCTTCCCTAAAAGACAGTAATGAAGCAGATGTTATTTTTTTCCCCAACAATTGGTCACCATTAGACTCTTAATTCCAGATTTTAATTGGATTCAAATTCCACCAACAGGATTCAAACCCAGGTCCCCAGAACATTACCTGCCTTTCTGGATGAACAGCCCAGCAATACCACTAGGCCATCATCTCCCCTTAAGGCCACTGTTTCAAAGAGGACAGGGGAGTATCTCCCTGTGATTCCTGGGGCCATTATTTCTCCCTCAGTTGATTACACTTAACAAACAATAAACAGATGATCTGGTCATTGTAATCTACATCCCATAGCTGGGCAGGCAGATTGTGAGTGTCAGTCTGGAAGTCTAACAGGGCAGAAGCAACAGCAAATGTTTGGAAAGGCTAATTATTAATTTGACAGCCTCCACCTCACCCCAACAGGCTCAATGAACTGATGTACATTGCAAAACAGTAACCAGTCAGGAGTCACTGGGGTTTGTTGGACTTTGGATGGAAATCGAGGCCCTCTCCTAACCTCCCTGTTCCCTTGTACAGGGGGAAGGGGAATTGGCATCCATGGCTGCTGCTTTAACTCACACTAACTGATTAATCTCATTACTACCCCCCACCCCCAACAGACACACACAGACGCAGGCTATTTGAAGGTAAATCATACGTTGGAGTGCAGCTGGAGAGTGCAGGATAGCCTCAAACTGAAAGGGCACTTCCAGTTGCTGTGCAACAGAGCACAGGAGCTGAATGGCCTCCTCCTATTCCTATGTAGCAGGCTCCAGTGGGCCAGACAGCCCATTTCTGTTTCTTCTAATTCCTGGTACATTGACCCCTTTTAAGATAGGAGTGCAGTCAGGTGGGAAAGACACTGGGTGATTCTATGCAGAAAACACTGTTTCCTAAGACGTTTTTCTTTCACAACCGCAAACACGTTTGTAAAAATTCTTCTCTTCTTGGCAGCGAGATGGGGAATTTGAGATTCTGTCTCATTAGGGACAAGAAATCCACACTGTCACACAAGATTCTCAAGTTTAATACACTCTTCTGTAAAGTCAGAAAGCACACATAATAACGTCAATATATTCTTGCACTTCCCCTTATTAGGTTCCTCCTCGAGTTTTACAGACACCGCTGTGCTTCTGAAATCAAGTTATTGTTGTTGTAAAACAGGAGAATCTGCACATTCAGCTTGCATTTACAGTGATCTGATCATTTGTCAGTTCCTTACAGTGATATTGGTTATGGGATTAATACTGACCACAGCATAGAGTGAAGAACACCACTGCCCACCAGCCCATCACCTTGTCATGGTCCTAAATCACCCACTTTGAGGGCACAATTTGTCTGTTACACTCACCAAAGAGGGCAAAGTGTTAAACGACTCATTTGAAACACTGACCCTCTGATACTGCCATACTTCCTTGGCACTGACCCTCCTGCAGGGCAGTACTCCCTCAATACTAACCACCTGAGAGTGAGGCACCCTCTCAGTACTGACACTCTGACAGTGTGGTGCTCCCTCAATACTGACCCTCTGGCAGAGCAGTATTCCCTCAATACTGACCCCCTGGCAGAGCAGTATTCCCTCAATACTGACCCTTGGGCAGTGCCAGCTCTCCTTCAGTACTGACCCTTCCACAGGGAAGTATTCCCTTAGCACTGACCCTCTGGGAGTGCGGCAGAGCCGCTTGTGACAGCGTAGCCCAGTGCACTCACTCACTCACCTCTGGGTGCTAATCTCTCCCACTGTGGCTCGTTGACAGTCCTGACTTGGTGCCTGCGAGAGAGACAATTGTGTCTGGGCAGACTTAAACAGCAACTGCTTGAGCGTACCTTGAGTGAGTGGGTTAAATTTTAACGTGAGAGACACGGCACAAAGCCAGAGGGAGGCGGTGAGCGCAGGGCTCGCCTCCCATTGGCCAAGCCGGCAGCAAACTTTCAACCAATGGGAGAGCTGCGAGTCTGCAACAAAACTTTGGCTTGTTTCAAACGCCCAGGTCATTGAGCAACTTCTGAACGGCAGAGTGCATTTCACTGGGTTCATTCAGAAATAAAGTAAGTTCTCTCGATGTTTCAGTGCCTACTCATTGCTGAGAAACGATTTATTAACCTGGGCCCTGTTTTCAAGCCGTTTCTTCCTTCAATCGCCCAGTCCAAATAGTGTAAACCCAATTGGACCTTTTCGTGCAGATTAATCGATTTTTCAAATACAAAAGTGGCCCTTCGATCCATCCATCGTGTACTACCTAAAATATTCTTATGACCTACACTGGACCCACATTCACACCAGACCCATAGCCTTGAATGTTATTACACCTTAATTTCTCATCCATGTACTTTTTAAAGGTTGTGAGGTAGAGTTGGAGCATCTTTGATTTTTTCTCACTCCAGATATTTATGTTCCTCCCCAAGCTCAGTGATTTTCCACATCCAGTCATAAATAGGGTTAAGTACAACAGTCAAACAAGTGCTGATTAGATTTCTGTAGCAGTTTTTCATTCCACAGCCCCTCTGCCTCCCCAAAACCTGTCTACCTTCAACAAGGCACAAGCCAGGAGTGTGATGGAACACTCCCCACTTGCCTGGATGGATGCAGGTCCAACAATACTCAAGAAGATTGACACCATCCAGGACAAAAGCCCCCGCTTGATTGGCACCACATCTTTCATTCTCTGGTCACCCTGCTATAGGAAGGATGTTATTAAACTGGAACGGGTGCAAAAAAAGATTTACAAGGATGTTACTAACACTGGGGGGGGTTAGAGTTTTAAGGAGATGCTGGGACTTTTTTCCCTGGCGTGTCACAGGCTGAGGGGTGACCTTATAAAAGTTTATAAGATCAAAGAAAAATCAAAGATGATCCAACTCTACCTCACAACCTTTAAAAAGTACATGGATGAGAAATTAAAGTGTAATAATTCAAGGCTATGGGTCTAGTGTGGATAAATGGGTCCAGTGTAGGTCATAAGAGTGTTTCAGGTAGTACACGATGGATGGGTCAAAGGGCCACTTCTGTATTTGAAAAATCGATTATTCTGCACTTAAAGGTCCAACTGGGTTTACACTATTTGGACTGGGCGATTGAAGGAAGAAACAGCTTGAAAACAGGGCCCAGGTTAATAAAATCATGAGGGGCATGGATAGGATGAATAGCCAAGGTCTTTTCTCCAGTGTAGGGGAGTCCAAAACTAGAGGGCATAGGTTTAGGGGGAGAGCAGAACGATTTAAAAGGGATGTGAGGAGCAACTTTTTTCACACAGAGTGTGGTGCATATATGAAAGGAACTGCCAGAGGAAGTGATAGAGGCAGGTAAAATTACAACATTTAAAAGAAATTTGGACAGGTACATGAAAAGGGAAGGTTTAGAGGTATATGGGCCAAATGCGGGCAAATGGGACTAGTTTAGGAAAACCTTGCTGGCATGGACAAGTTGGGCAGAAGGGTCTGTTTCCACTCTATCCACTCCCTCCACCACCGACACTCAGTAGCAGCTGTGTGTACCATCTACAAGATGCAAAATGCAGTCAAGATCCTGTGACAGCATATTCCAAACTCACAATAACTTTCATCTAGAAGGACAAGGGCAGGAACACCACCCCCTGAAATCCCCCCTCCAAGCCACACACCATCCTGACTTGGAAATTCATTGGCGTTCCTTCAGTGTCACTGGGTCAAAATCCTGGAACACCCTTCCTCACAGCACTGGGGTGCATTCCTATATTCCAAGGACCACCGTGGTTCAAGAAGGAAGCTCATCACCACCTATTTCTGTGCAATGAAGGATGGAGAATAAATGCTGACCAGCCAGCAACATCCAAATGACAGGAAGGAATAAAGGGTATCTGAAATAGGGGTGGCACAGTGGCTAGCACTGCTGCCTCACAGAGCCAGGGACCCAGGCTCGACTCCACCCCTGGACGAATGTCTGCTTGAAGACTGCACATTCTCCCTCTGTCTGCGTGGGTTTCCTCCCACAGTTCAAAGATGCGCAGGCTAAGCGGATTAACCATGAGAAATGCAGGGTTTCAGGGATGGTGTTGGTCTGGGTGGGATGTCCTTTGGAGGGTCAGTGTAGACTTGATGGACTGAATTCCACTCTGCTTCCATGCTGTAGGGACTCCTTGTTCCAAGGAGCACCATCACTGAGCCAGAGACAGCAATCTGCATTAGCACCAAGACATAAAAATGTCCAAATGTGTATTATTATCCAAAGCAGCACTGGATACTCAAATAAAAAAAATAAATAAATAAAAAAAAATCGAGGTATGGGCAGAGAGCAAGTGTGCGCAGTTTAGGGTGAGCAGACATTGGTTTGAATCACTGAAAGGCCCTCTGTTCTGGCTTAATTTGCTCACGGAAATTTAAACCAGACTGAAATTGATCCTAAGCCAAATGAAAAATCTTGGGACGGGTGACCAGAAGCTCAGTTGAAGAGGAATGTTTTAAAGGAACAACTGAAGGGAAGAGAGAAACAGAAGTGAGAGGCATGTGCAGAATGGCTTAAGGAGGGAAATTCTTGAGTCCCAAGCCCAATGCAGCTGAAGGCAGGGCTGCCAATAGTAGAGCAATGGGTTTCAGGGGTTGCTGGGTTGGTGAAGATAGAGGAGTGCAGAGGTCCCAAAAGGTTGTAGGGGCTGGAATAGTTTACAGAGATATGGAGGGGTTTAGAGGCTGGAGGAGGTACAGAATTAGGGAGGGTTGTAGGGGCTGGAGGAGGTTACAGAAATAGGAAGAATTGGAAGAAATTACAGAGACAGCGAGATTTGGAGAAAGTAAGAGGTAGGGAGGGGTGTAGTGACTGCAGGAGGTTACAGATATAGGGATGGGACGTAGGGGCTGGAGGAGGTTAGAGATAGGGAGGGGTGCAGGGTTTAGAGGAAGTTCCAATGAAGGTGTGTGTGTATGGGGCTGTAGAGGGTTACAGAGACAGGGTGGAGTGCAGGGGCTGCAGGAGATTACACGGCTAGCGAAGGTGTAGGGGCTGGAGGAGATTACAGAGACAGAGAGTGGTGCAGGGGCGAGAGGAAGTTCCAAAGAGGGTGTGTGTGTGTCTGTCTGTGTGGGGCTGTAGAGGGTTACAGAGACAGGGAAGTGTGGAGAGGCTGCAGGAGGTTACAGAGATAGGGAGGGTGTAGGGGCTGGAGAGGAGGTCACAGAGAAATGGAGGTGAGCAAATGAGGGATTTAAGAAGAAGCTGACTATTTTAAAATAGTGGTGTCGACCAAGGAGGAGCAGGAAACTTCAAGTAACAGTGGGTGCTGGTTGGTGGATATTTTACCAGGTGAAGGTACAGGCAGGAAGGTTTCGGGTGAATTGTTGTTTATTTGAAGCCT